ATGCTGGACTTTTCATGTCTTCGATGAGTAGCGAAAAGGTTGATACTGTTGATGTGATTCAGATGCTCATAAATGGTTCAGGTAATGATGAACGTATTATCAACACGAGGAGTACTTGAGCAAGGTGCTTGCTTGGATGCATTCATCTCAATATTGCTGGATTCATCAGCAAATCAGGTGGTAAGTCTTCAGTTCTCTCTAAAAGTAACAAGTTCTGTAATCAGAAAAGAAATAGAAAGCAGGTTCTTTTGGCATTCACTTGACCTTTTTTTTTTGTTCTTCTTTTTGGTAACAGGACTTTGGAGCCTGCAATGGCATTGAGGAGGTTGCAATGCTCATGCGAGACAAACAAGCTNATGAAAACCTCAGGTGAATTTCCTTAGCAAGTTCCGTTCTCAGTTCTCCAATGAACAATCTGATGAAAACCTCTGTTTTGAACGATTAGAGTAGGTTGTGGAATCTTGCATTAGGCTTTATTGCAGTATCTTCACTATACAAATTGCTGTCTACAAAGTTTCTTGTCCTTTTTGTCTCTTTTTAATTTTTTATGTTTGAGTAAATTTCAGATCGATTTCCTTGTCAAAATCGTAGAATAGCCTTTGCATTGTCAAGTAAAACCTTACCATCTCAAGGTTGATCTCATGTATTGGTAATAGGTCCAACTCTAAGGTCACCCTTAATCACAATATGGTTATGCATCTACAATGGCATTCACTTTGTGTCAAAACGGTTTTGAGTGTCATGGTTTAGGCCTTTTGGTCATGTTTAATTCTTACTGATTTACAGGTTACGATGCGGAGAGTTCTTACTACTGTTAGTTGGACATGTGAATGGGAAGGATCATTCTCCCATTTCAAGTGTAAATGAAGACCTCAGGCGCCTTCTGGGTGAAAAATCTGCTTCTTTAATATGGGCAGCGAGTCAATTTGGTTCAACACGTGACCCTGAACAAAGAATCACTGCTCTTCACATCCAGGCCGGTAGAGTGCTAGAGTCCCTTGACTTGTACTAATTGTCAACCTCCTTTTGTGTGTGTGTGTTTTAATTACATAATACAAAGTTATTTTTATCTGTAAGACTTACCAAAATGGAAATATAGTTCTTCAGCAAAATCTCTGGTAACTGCACTCCATGGAAATAGAGTTCTTAAATGATGTTCCATTTTTAGAATAGGCAAATCGGTCTTTAGCGTTAAATCGAACTCTAGTTAGCCCGTTCAAACGATACTACAAATGAAGAAGAAAGACTCGGAGACAAGGATTCATCCTACTACCTAAGAAACCAAACACATTTTTTGTTTGAAGATAGTTTATAACATTAGATTTATCTCTCTTTTTTCTTGAATGTGGGTCAAATGACTACATGTATCTATCAAATCTCTCTACAAATTCTCGAGTAAGCAATCGATGATGATACCATCATTCATCTTGTAAACGTGCTATATGTCACGAAATGCATCTATTAGCAATCTACATTTTACATGTTTGGATCCGGATAGTGGTATGTCATTCATATTCATACCTACAAACTAGAAATAAACACTAGACAATGTGTAATAGTTGACCCATGAGTCCATATGACCGGTCAAAATTAAAATGTTTTAATAGTCTATAAAATATCCTTTGTGGGTCACAAACAAACTTGCAAGTAATCGGCCCATATTCCCTTCCACGAGTTACGGTTGCTTTAATGAAGCCTAGATTTTGACGAAATACACTTTTTGTCTTTTCTCAATTCTCACTGTGTCACAGATCCAACTCCCCCAAG